GCCCAAGAATTGGAGTTTGCTCTGAACTGTGACGTCAGGCACTCTACCTGGGGCAACATAATGAGACTCTGTCTCAAAAAAAAAAAAAAAAAAAAAAAAAAAAAATTCAGATTTGACTTTTTTACTTCAAGAAGTTTATAAATTGGTTCAGAACTGTAAGATTAAAAGAAAACTAAAACACAATGATTTTCTTTAAAAAATCATTAAATACTCAATTATACAGATAATAACTGCTATACAGTCATCTCAGGCTAGGAGTGTATCATCAAAGGCTTCAGACTAAAGTTATAAAATGAGTCTCCAGCTTAAATTGTGAAATGGAGGGAAGCAATAAGCCAATACCAACCCTTAGATTTAACATCAGTGTTTTGAAAACCAAAAAAATTTTGTACTTTAGGTTTCTTGCTCCTCTGTAAAAATTTCCAAAGTAGGCTCAGCACCTTGTGCGCCAGTCACATACACCAGAGCTAGAGAACTAGAATCCAGCCTGGGCTGGACATCGCTGGGCACTGTGCTGTGTGCCTGTAGTCCTAGCTACTTGGGAGGCTGAAGCAAGAGAAGCACTTAAGCCCAAGAGTATGAGGTTGCTGTGAGCTGTGACACCACAACACTCTACCCAGGGTAGCAACTTGAGACTGTCTTAAAAAAAAAAAAAATTCCAAAGTAGCAGCACATAAGGCTTGCATTCCCATGTAAAAAGATATCATCCCTTTTGTATATTCCAACTTGCTTAACCATTTGTAACTGCTTGGCCTCATTAAGCATTTACATCTCTCAACCCTGGCAGTAACAAGGGCCAAACTACAAACCCAGGAAGCAGATTCTTGTTTATGAAAGAGAATCCGAAAGAAAAGGCTTATGACAAATACAATTTTTAGGTGGTGCTTGTTGCCAAATGGATTACCATTTTTTTATATACTAAGTATAATTGGAAATATATTTTAAACCTTATTTCAAGAAATCTTAAATCATGTAAAATAGGAGAGGGGATACTTACAAAGAAAGTATAAGTTATGTAAGATCTATAACACTTTTTATTTTTCAGAGCTAGAGTCTTACTCTATCGCCATCAGTAGAGTACTGTAGTGTCACAGCTCATAGCAACCTCTAACGCCTGGGCTTAAGCGATTCTCTTGCCTCAGCTTCCTAAATAGCTGGGACTACAGGTGCCAACCACAACACCTGGCTATTTTTTGGTAGCAATTTGGCCAGGGGCTGGGTTTGAACCCGTCACTCTTGGTATATGGGGCTGGTGCTCTACCCACTGAGCCACAGGCGCCACCCTCATAACACTTTTTAAATGAATCACTGAAGAATAAATAGAGGCCAGATATGATGGCTCACCTGTAATTCTGGCACTTTTGGGTGGCCATGGCAGGACAAGGCCTGAGTTTGGGACCAGCCCAAGCAACATAACCAGACCCTAATTTTAAAGAATTAGCCAGGTGTAGTGACACACTCCTGTAATCCTGGCTATCTGGGAGGCTGAGTCAGGATTACTTGAGGCACAGGAAGTGGAGGCTGTACTTAGCTATAATCACACCACTGCACTTTCACCTTGGTGACAGAGTAAGATCCTGTCTCCCCAACAGCAAAGAAAAAACACTGTAAACATCATTCTGAGCCACAAGTATTCATTTGAATAATACTTAGAAATTTGTTTTTTCGCATTCATTTTCAAGTGTATATTCATTTCCATATTCTAATTTTTTTTATTTTTTCTTTAGAGACAGAGTCTCACTTTGTTGCCCGTGGTAGAGTACCATGGCATCAGAGCTCACAGCAACCTCAAACTCTTGGGCTCAAGCGATCCTCTTGCCTCAGTTTTTCATTTTTAGTAGAGACAGAGTCTCGCTTTTGGTCAGGTTGGTCTCAGAGCTCAAGCCATCCACCCACCTCAGCATCCCAGAGGGCAAGGATTACAGGCATGAGCCAATGGGCCTGACCTACATATTCTAACTAATTAGAGGGAATAAAGTAAGTGGCTATCTTTAATAGAATCTTTACAACACTTAATACAGTACTTGGTGTCACAGTATTTATCAAGGCTGAATGTGTACAGCTTTCTCTTGCCTCAGAGTAGCTTTCTGTATGCCTACGTATATGTTTTAAAAAGACTGATTCAATAGGTTAACAAACTTCCCCAAATAGTATTCTCTATTGTGCAAAATAAAGAACTTACGTGGAAAAAAAAAAGAACTTATGTGTACACAGAAAAAAAAAACTTATGCGTACCTTATATTCAGGCACGCAAAGCTTAAGTCAAGTATGCAGAGTTGACCACTGGAGCCATATATGTGAGATAATTAAAGGGATGTACAAGGAGTACAAAACACAATGGTGGACAAAGTGCCGACATATGAAGAGAGAAACTGAAAAGAAATTTCAGCATGTTGGGATCAGAACTGACAGCAACAAGAGGTTAAGGGAATTCCGATTAAGAAATGGATGAGTATTTTTGGATTCTACACAATGGTCAAAAGAGAATGTGAGCAAGAATTACTTTATAACAGATTGTTTTGTCTAAAGTATCAAATTCTACAGCTTACTCTACAAGTATAAGAATTGGTAAGATTCTCAAAACAAACCCTTTCTATCAAGGATTGGTCTAACGCATCGACAAACCAACTAAAGACCTAAGCTAGGGTGACCAGACGTCCCACTTTTGAATAATTTGTCCTGCGTCCCGCACGGTTTTAAAAAAATCCAGATTTTTGGAAAGAATGCACAAATGGGCAGGAGAACAAGAAGGGAATATATGGTTTTCGGCTGCCATGTGGCTATTTTGCCAGAATATGAGTTTTATATTATTTTGTTAATTTTATAATATTAAACTGTAATAATAACAAATAATTGTTGAGAAGTGATTATCGAGAACTGCTTATCAAAGTTTGCATTGTTGTCAGGCCCCGCCCTGCCCCCTGCCACGCCCCACCCTCCCACTCCACCCGACCTCCCACCATGTTGTCCCGCTTTACAAAGGTTAAAGTCTCATCACCCTAACCTAAGCCCCAGACAACTACAGGACAGCTTGTTTCCCAAATGAGAAAAGCACTAACATAAGAAACAGAATTTAAAAACAAAGGCAGACCCACAGTAAATAACCCAATAGATATTAACTATTTCCAAAATAGAATAAGTTGGCCAAGAAACAAACATAAAAAAACAAACAAATAAATTAATTTTCAGTACTTACGTCTTCTCTAGGTAGTTTATTCTCATTGTCCCCTTCGATTCTCACCCGAACCACACCAGATTTGTCCACAATTTCTTGAATAACTTTGCCGTTTTTCCCAATAACTTTTCCTTTAGTAAGAGAAAAAAATTATAATTGTTAAAAAAAAAAATTTCCTATCCTTTCAACACCAGCCCAAAAAACTTATGACTTGCTATCAAATTATAGCCACCAAGCAAAGCTTTGCCTTTTCACTTTCAATTAACTTACCCCGAAGACTACTAAGAATTTTGTTGCTTGGTCTGGAATTTCTTTCTTTTCTGTATGCCTGAGTATATTAACTGAAACTGACAGTGCTGCTCACATGTAAGAAATTCTCAAAGTCTAAATTTCTTTTATAACTGTATTGTTTCCATATTTTTAAATACCCAATCTATTTCAAAACTTTGGATATGTACATAAAGGCAAAGAGATTAATACACAATTAATTTGTGTACATAAAGGCAAAAAGATTAGTACACAATTAATTTGGCATTAATTGCTAGCAATTTGTTTATATTTATCTTGCTTTTATTTTCAGATTTGTATTTGTCCAAAAGATATCTGTGACTTGAATATAACTTCAGAATGAATATTACTGTTCAGTAAAATAAAATGTTGACAAATATTACATTCTACATCGGAAGGTTTTAAGTACTTCACAGCTATATACAAATCCATAAAGCATGTATGATAGAACGCTTATACAGTATGAAATACTGTAAAATGACATGAAATTCAAATTATTTACCTTCTCCACACTTAAAGTCTGTCCAACAGCACTAGTGAGTACACAGTAATTAAAGGAGAAATAAGGGTAAAGGTAGGGTGAAAATTCTCTTCCCCTGAAGAGCTTACTATCTAGTTATATAGATTACTATATATACTCATATAAAACAAGACTAATAAAATAAAATCAATATTGTGGAAGAAAATATTGAGGTAACCTTCACTATACAGAACAAATGTATCTCTTATAAAGTTAACAGCAACGACTTATTTATATCCACATTCCTGATTATTTTAATAAATCAGTTTCATAAAAGCTTGAATTAATTTTAACTGAAAGGGGTTAAATTGGAAGTTTGTCCTATCACATGCCTGAAAGAACAGTTTCCATTAAAGAATGAATTAGGAAATAATGGCAACAGAAATCTGGTCAACACAATACAAGCACTAAAATGAGATTTCTCTCTGGTATTCCTACTTTCAAACCACCTTCCCCATTAGTAACATTAAACTTAAAAGCAGTAGCCAGTGAACAGTAAAGAAAAAAAAAAAATACAGTAGGACAGGGGATTCACATGACGTGTGTCTTCTCTGAGAAGCCCTAACAGCAGCACATGAAAGCAACCTTCATTGTTAATACAGTAAAGCTCAAGCAGCAACTCCATCCTAGACCTTGCTAAAAATAAGCAAATTTCTCTGGGGGGTGGGGTAAATCGGGTTGATATACCATAATCCCACCCCCTACACTTCTGTCACTTCCGTCTTGTGAACTGAACCAGTTGAGAGTGATCATCCAACACCCTTTTGGGGTCCTTGGCAGGGACCTACCTTCAAGTTTTATTTAGTCCCACCAGAGACCGTCAATATTTTAATTGATCATTTCCATAGTTTATATTCCAGAGCATATTGACAAACTGAAGCAGACCTGTAGTATAAATTGAGCATTGAGTATAAATGCCAAAGGGATAGAGTAGAGAAGTGATTAAGGAAGGCCTACAAGAGGTGAAAGGTTTGGATCCATATTCAAATTATGTTCACGTATTTTTCTCTTTGATTTGGGAGGAGTTGGGAATGGTCAAGTCCTAGAACTCTTAAAACCCAAATGAATCCAGAACTCTCTCTGGAACTTACCCACCAAGTGCTCCTCATTACCTTTCATTTCTCATTCCTTTTTTCTCTCTCACTTGGACTAAGAATGCACTACTTTTGAAAAGACTGCTTCACCCATAAAACATTTGAGGAAAATACAGTATTATTACACATAATAACCAACAGAAATTTTTATACTACCCTTGAGTACTTCACCAACATGTAATGGTTGTTGCTAATTTCTGTACTTCCTAAAAAGCACATAACCCACCATCATCAAAGCCAACCAAGACAGGATAGAAGAAAGACAGAACAGGTACTCACATCACTGCACTGATAAATGAATAGAGAAGAAATCAGGGAACTATAAAAATAGTCTATTACTCTGTAAGTATCAGGAATTCTTACAATTAACACTAACACAACGCTGTAACAACAAGGCGATCATGTACAGAATGACTGGTTTGGAAAGAAATCCAAATCTCTTTCAAAAACCCACCACTAAATGTTTACAGGAGAGGAAACCTTAGTAAAGTTAAATTATATTCTATACCAACAGTTACCACAAGATTTAAGTATGGATCATTGTCAATAACTGAGTATTACCTATACAAGAAGATCATTTTCTGTTTCTTTCTTTTTTTTTTTTT